ATTGTATCGTACGTTCTGGAAACTGTCCGAACATCTTAACACCTCCCCTCGATTTGCGAACACTTTCAAGTTTAGTAGGTCCATTAGCTTCGTGTGTCTGGCCTTAGGAAGACCCTCAGTGAGTAAGTCTGCGGGCATGTTCTCAGTGGGTAGGTAATCGACCTTCAGTAGTTCTTTCTTTAAGGCGTCCCGAATGAAATGATGACGTAGGTCAATATGCTTGCTCCTGGAGTGAAAAGTCGCATTTTCTGACAGTTTTAAAGCTCCTAAGTTGTTAAATACAGTGATGTCTGCGAGGTGTTCGAGGCTTAATTCCGTCAGGAAGCTCTTCAGGTAAATGCATTCCTTGACGGCCTCGGTCATTGCCATATACTCAGCCTCAGTCGAGGAGAGTATATGCCACGGTGCGCTGTTTCTTGCATTCCCACGAAATGGGTCCCTCGCTGAGCGTGAATACGTAGCCTGTGTAAGACTTACGGTCGTCCGGACAGCTACCCCAATATGCGTCCGCGAATCCCTTCAGGGGTACGGCGTTGCACGAGTAAGTCAGGCCGTAATTGATTGTTTTCTTGAGAAACGAAGAACTCTCTTGGCAGCGTTCCAATGAGCCTTACCGATGCAATTGTTATACTGACTTAGGCGATTGACTGCGAAGCAGATGTCCGGTCTTGTGGCCAATGCAATGTAGTTGAGAGCTCCAATCAGCTCTCGATAAGGTAGACGAGATTCCTCTTCTGTCTGAGGGCCGACGGGCTTCATGAGCTTTACATTTGGATCGACTGGAGTGCTGATAGTTTTCGCGGATGTCATTCCGAATCGATCTAAGACATCGTTTATGTAACCTCTTTGATTCAATGTGATCTGATTGTCGGACATAGCGAATTCTATTCCTAGACAGCATCCAACCTGGCCCAAATCGTTTATCTCGAACTTAGTTAAGAGTTTGGTTTTTACGTTACTGATAATCAATTCCTCTCTCGATGCGATTAAGATGTCGTCGACGTAAGTTAAAATGAGCGTCAAATTCTTTCCTTTACCGATGCGATAGATGCAAGGATCTGCCTGAGAAGGGATGGCACCGAGCTCTATCAAGCATTTATTCAATGTGTTGTACCAATTTCTGCCGGATTGTCTCAATCCATAAAGAGATTTCTTCAAAAGTAATACTTTATTTCCTTTTTGAAAATCTTGCAACATCTTGCTCGCCTTCTTCCGAGTTTCTGTTTCGTATTCTTCGTCAGCGATGACTTTCAAGATGTCTTGAAGTTGTTTGGGGGCTTCCATGAATACTTCTTTATCGAGCTGTCCGTTAAGGTAAGCTGTAGTGTCGAGCTGATGAATTTTCATGTTGAGTTGGGCCACGATAGCAGATAATAACCTAACTGATCCTAGTCGTGCTACCGGGGCAAATGTTTCGTTAAAGTGTACTCCACGTTTTTGAGAGAAGCCTTGAGCTACAAGTCTGGCTTTCCTTCTGCAAATCGTTCAGTCTGGATTGAACTTAGTTCATAGAACAATTCGACTTCTGATAATCTCCTTGTGCGTTGGGCGATCGACTAGTGTTGAAAACTTATTGTTGCGCTCAAAAAAAACATGCATAGAAGAAATGTATGCAAAAAGAAAACTTTATTAATTATAGAAAAAGTACAAGAAAGAAAATTGTCGTGCTCACACAGCAGCGAAGACGAACAGACCGACTAAAGGAAAACATATACGCGCCCTCTCTTATAAATCAAGAAGCTTGAAACTAAATCATATATATGTTACTGGCGCATTCTTAAAATTCAATTTTCAAGTCTCAACACTCCCACTTTTAGTTGCAAGCTACCAAAAAACTGTGACAAATAAAGACATTTTTCTCTCGGAACAATTCCCAACAATGTTCGCAGATACAAGTGTTTTGCCTTCGGCAATGCTTTTGTCATAATATCCGCACGCTGTTCATTCGTAGAGACATACATTAATTCGAAATCACCATCCTCGAATTTTTCACGAATGAAATGATATCGGACGTTAATATGTTTCGTTCGTTTGTGAAACTCCGGGTTCTTCACAAGACGAATTGCACTTTGACAATCCATGTAAAACTTCGGTGTATCCATCTCCATCTGCAGTTCTGACATTAACTGTTTCAACCATATTAATTCTTTGACGGCATACGATGCCGCCACGCACTCAGACTCTGTTGTTGATAATGCAACCGACCGCTGACACTCCGAAGCCCAACTGATGACACTGCCGCCAACTAGGAAGACATATCCTGATGTCGATCTTGCGGTCCGCTTGTCACCCGCGTAATCCGCATCACTGTAGCCGCTGAACGTTAGATCACTTCCTCCTTTGAAGTGAATACCCATGGTCAATGTACCTTGCACGTATGCCTTTCAATATGCGTTTGACGGCGTTCACATGTGCTTCGGCAGGCTCCTCCAGGTATCGGCTGACATTTCCAACTGCAAAGGTGATATCAGGTCGCGTCGCCACAGCAAGGTACATCAAGCTGCCCACTGCCTCTCTGTATGGAAAACTGATTTCTTCGTCTGCTTCAAAATCACTTAGATTTTGTTCAGCGTCCAATGGCGTCGATACTGTATGACAGTCTGTCATGTTAAGACGTTGAAGTATCCTCTGTGCGTATGCTTGCTGATTAATATGAATGGATCCGTCCAACCGTTGATCGATTTCGAGTCCTAGAAAGCATTTAGCATCAAATACTTTTATCTCGAATTTCTTTCGCATATGGTCAATTACCGGCAAAATAGCCTCCTTGTTCTCCGATGCGATCAGCCCATCATCCACGTAAATCGCTAAAAACATCATGCCGTTCTTACCGTTATATACGAACACACATGGATCCGATTCGCTGGCCCTAAAATCAAACTTTGTTATAAATGACTTAAACTTTTGATTCCAGCAGCGTGAAGCCTGCTTCAAACCGTATAAGCCCTTGACCAGCTTACACACTCGTCCACTTCTGTCATCATAACCTATCGGCTGCTTCATATATATTTCTTCTTCCAAGTCTCCATTCAGAAATGCAGTTTTAACGTCAAATTGTCTGAGCGTCATTTGCTTCGATGCCGCCAATGCCAGAATGGTCCGAATTGACGCAAACTTGACGACAGGGCTAAAAGTCTCACGATAATCGATGCCATACTCCTGGGTAAAACCACGCACAACCAGTCTCGCCTTGAAGCGTTCGACATTGCCATCTGTATGGTATTTAATCTTGTATACCCAACGGTTGTCAATTACCCTCTGGTCTTCCGGCGGATCAACCAAAACCCATGTACGATTCTTCATGAGCGAGGCATATTCCTCATCCATTGCCTGCTCCCACTGCTTCCGTTCTGCCGATTCGAACGCTTGTTCGTACGTTTTTGACTCGTCGTCGTACGTCAATTGACGACAAGGCAATGTACTTCGATCACGTAAGCGTTGTTTCACGATGTTCTGCCTGTCGATGTCACACAGATTCCCGCGATTTTGTCTCATTGATGGTGTTTTTAATTCCTCATGAACCTCGTCGTCACGCCGATTCACATCCTGTCCATCATCTGCTTCCGTGTTATCAACCTCTGCATTCATCAAGTACAATCCTTGATTCTTCCAGAAGAAAGACCACGTCTCGAGTCACCTCGATCTTTTTCGATTCCAGATTCCAAACTCGATATCCCTTTGAGTTACTGTCATATCCGACGAAGATGCACTTGATTGCCTTCGGATCCAGCTTCCGTCGCTTCTCCTTGGGCACGTGTACAAAAACTTCTGAGCCGAAAATCCTTAAATAGTCAACCTTCGCTCGTTTATTGTACCATAATTCGTACGGTGTCTTGTCTGGGACAGTGCTTGTTCCAGTTCGGTTCAAAATATGGACTGCGGAATTTACAGCTTCCGCCCAAAACTTCTTATCCATTCCTTTTGCATGGATCATTGTTCGCGCTGACTCAACTATCGTTCGCATATCTCGTTCTGCGCACCCGTTCTGCTCAGGTGTATATGGGACCATGCGCTGATGATGAATGCCTATTTCGTCAAAAAAGGCCTTCATCTCATCGTTGACAAATTCTGTTCCATTGTCTGAAATTGCTAATGTTGTGTCCATTGTCCTTTTGTACCATTTTAACGAACCTTTTGACATTGTTCGCGACTTCTGACTTTTGTTTCATGAAATAGACGAAACGAAAATGCGAATAATCGTCTTTCAAGAGCAAACAATATCTGGCACCACCAAGCGAATTTTCCTCCATTGGACCGCAAACATCTGCGTGAATAATTTTTCCGCATGTCGTCGATTTTTCCTCACGATTCTTGAAGCTGCCACGATGATGCTTTCCATAGATACATGCTTCACATGTGAAATCCTGATTAATGAAATCAATGCTCTCGTTGTTCAGAAACTTCTTCACATGTGCGATGTTCTGATGTCCCAAACGTTCATACCAAGCACGAAGAGAAAGCTTCTTCATTGCTACATTTGCCATGGCCTCATCGTTCCTCGACGGCTTTACCACCTTCAACAGCATTTGAAACAATTCTCCGCGACGAACTCCAACGAACTGCAACTACACTGCCGTTCTTCAGTAATTCACAGCGCGCACTGTCCGATCGCGATTGGATCCACGATTCAAGGCTTTACCCAACGAGAATAAATTCATATGAATTTCCGGCACATATAGTACATCCAACATCCGCTTCGAAAACCATTCGTTGCCATTGAACGCCAAAACACTCATGTTACCTTTTCCTCGCGCCATGATCTTTGCACCATTTCCAATTGTTACGCTCATTGACATCTCTGTGAAATCTTCAAACCACTCTCGACGATGACACATGTGATCACTTGCACCAGAGTTTAGTACCCAAATATCTCTATCACATGTCGAAAACGATGCGTGGCACACAAAAGCATCGGTCGATGCGTGTCCTTGTTTCAATTCCATCCTTCTCTTTCGTTGTGGACAATCACGTTTCCAGTGACCTTTCTCACCACACTCAAATCATGGCTTGTTGCTCCTTGTGCCACTCTCACTATTTCCACCGCTTCCTCCAGTACTCTTCTTATTTTGATTCGACGATGATTGACCCTGGTTTTTCTTCGAATTTCTCTTTTTCCAAAGATTCTTCTTAGCCACCAATGCCTCCACATTTTCAACTTGGTCTTGTGACTTTAATCGAAGCTCCTCGCCTAACAATCGCGCACGCAAATTGGCCATTGTTTGACTCTCCGGACCCGTTGATTCCCAAGCACTGTGAAAATGATTATACTCCGGCGGCAATGACATCAAAATCTTCGTTATAACCATTGAATCTGAAATATTCTCGTTCTGATCCCTCAACTGCTGCACAATCTCCATAAGTTTTGACAGAAACACAGTGATATTATCTGTTGGCTCCTTCGTGAAACTATAGTACTTCTGTTGTAAAAACACTATGTTTGACTTCGATGCTTGCTCATATGTACTTTTGAGCGTTGTCCACATATCCTTCGCCGTTTGACAATTCATAATTTGCAACAACGGTTGCTTGTGACATGCAGTCGAGATTGCACGCCGTGCCTTTGCATTTGATCTTCGCCACACAATAACGTCCGCAGCATAATTTGCAGTATCTATTTCTGGTTTAATACTTGTACCGTCGACGTATTCGTACAATTCATTTGCTTCCAAATATGTCGCATTTGAAACTTCCATGTGAGCCAGTTACTAGCACCTTCCAGTCGATCAATTCCCATTTTTTCGTTCTCCATTGTTCACTTGAATATTCTATTTAGAAAAGAAAATTCACACAAACTTCAATTGATTCGAACGACTGTATGCGAGAACACAGATACACACTTTTTTGTCCCGAAATCCTTCGCCGACCTAGGGAGATTAGGATATTGCCACGCAGTCGTCGCGTGATCTCACAATTACACTGTGTCCGCTTTAATACAATATTCTCGTTCCAGAATGTTCCACCAAATCGCACTATCTCTCTTCCTCCTATCCAATATCCTCTGACTATGAGTTTCACAACACAGTTTATTTTAGTGGCAGAAAGAAATATTCCCGATTAACCGAATATCTCATCAACCGCACTCACTGGGCCCATAACCTGTTGAAAACTTATTGTTGCGCTCAAAAAAAACATGCATAGAAGAAATGTATGCAAAAAGAAAACTTTATTAATTATAGGAAAAGTACAAGAAAGAAAATTGTCGTGCTCACACAGCTGCGAAGACGAACAGACCGACTAAAGGAAAACATATACGCGCCCTCTCTTATAAATCAAGAAGCTTGAAACTAAATCATATATATGTTACTGGCGCATTCTTAAAATTCAACTTTAATTTTCAAGTCTCAACAACTAGCAGCCATGTGTCGTTTTTAAGAACAGATTTTATTTCGATCTTCATGTCTTCGAACCACTCTTCAGAGTTAGGTCCCTCCATGGCTAGTTTCATGGGCACTTCAGCGAGATAAGCGTCTTCGAGATGTACACTGTTGGCCTCTGCTGGCACCATATTGTAGATTTTTTTTCTTCTTCCCGCTCTGCCGGTGCTTTCTAGGCGCGGCCTTCCCCTGCCTCTTTTTAACTGTTCGAGGTCTGGGTCGTTGTTTAACTGTTCCTTTTATTCTGCGCAGCCCCTAAGAATGAATAGTGCGTAAGTACAAGAAGGGAGGGAGTGTAGACCTTCCCCGCCATCTGGGTGTGTTCAGAAATCGTATCGTACGTTCTGGAAACTGTCCGAACATCTTAACACAATATAATATGAAATATTTATTAATAATATATATATAATGTTATTATATGTATATATATAAATATTAAAATTGAAATATCGAAATATAGAGAAACTATATGTCCAGGTATTTCACTATCGAGGAATTAAGTGTCTAGACGTTGTCTATATGTTCGTCGTCGAGGAAGTGAGTGTCTAGGTATTCGCCGTCGAGGAAATGGGTGTCTAGATGTTTGTTTATTTAAGAAACGTTGTCGTCGTCGTCATTGTTGCCAGCCACGAAGTAAGGAAATACATTCTGGAATTTTTGACGCAAGACATAAATGTGGTCGCGACGGGTATCTATAAATCTATACATATCGATCGCTGCGATCTGTACGATCTTTAAAGTCAGATTAAGAGTCTCGGCAATAATAAAGAATTGAGATTAGGAAATCTGTCTTATCGATGGCATGGCATAGACGAACACGTAAGTGAGGTTAGAATAAATATCGATTGCTGCGATCTGTACGATCGTTAAAGTCGGATTAAGAGCAATAACAATAACAAAAGATTGAGGTTAGGAAGTCTGTCACATCGATGGCACAGACGAACACGTAAGTGAGGTTAGAATAAATAAATATTTTCTGGGGAGGGTGGGAGGGGAATACATATATTACTTTGAATAATATATTGCGAAGAATATTACTACGTCGACCCGCCATCAGAGGTCTATAGATATTCGCTAAGATTCTCGCAAGTGCTTTGATACGCGTATATCTATATATATAGAATCTCAATTTAATAACTAAAACAGGCGTCTAAGGTAGGCTTCCACTACAATGCCTTACTGATGAGTCCAGTAGTGGAAGTTGGGACGAAACGCCACAATTACGTGATATTCTTCGCAATATATTAGATTGATTTAAAGACTTTAACGAAAATTGGCTCATTGTCTTTATTTCATTATATTAGTTGTTTAATACTTATTGAGCTTTATCATTAATATTTAAATATTTTCTGCTTTATAACACAAATTCTTTGCTATAAAACACATTCCGCTGTAAGAATACAAATTATTTTCTGTATAATTATTTTCTTTTTAATAGCATTTGGTTAGGTTACTTATTTACCTAGACAGTCGTGTCACCAGATCTGGTAGTTTATTTCATTGAAATCTTTAAAGCTTTAAATAATTATCTAATAATGAAATATATTATCATTGAAAGTTACTGATATATTATTGAAGGTGCCAGTTCAAAGTGAATTTGGTATAAGAATTCTTTAAAATTAATACTGATCTTTTGTGATTTTTAAAATATAAAAAACTGTTATAGTTTGATCTCTCACCTAAAACACTATATTTGATTCAAGATTTTGGAGTGTAAGTTAACTAGTTTTCGATCACTTATATCTTCATAAGTATACGTTTACAAATTATTATTCTAATTAATAATTAATATCGTGAAGAAGGATTGTTCTGATAATCAATTTCGCAATAACATTATACCAAAAAAGCTTATTACATTTATTACATAATATTATTTGATTATATGTATTGTGACGTTGCAGTTTCGCTGCATCGTCGCAGCGACCCTTCGCCGTCATAAAGCGCGATTAGACGCCTGACCCGGGCCGGGAATTGCGAGCGAGCGAAATCTCCAGGGGTCGTAATTTGTGATCTTAGTAGTTTTTGCTAATCCCCGTAATTTATTTGTATGAAACGAGTGGCGCCTCACCGCTGGAAGACTCCACCGGACGTCGTCAACAAGGAACAGCCAGCAACGGAAGAGTAGGAAGGGAGAGTCAGGGCCGAGAAAGCGACCGGCGGTCCTCAACCTGCAGGAAGTCGGAGTCGCAGGAGGGCCGGGCGTCCAGCGAATGAAGGAGGAACACCTCGAGGAGGCGCAGGCCCGACGGACAAGACCGCCGTATGCCAGACGGCGAGAAGGCGGGCCGTCGGCAGCACAAAAATACGCTGCCGACACTAGATGAGCCCGCGGGGCCTCCAACCACCCCCTAGGACCTCGCTGGGCACGGCACTGTCCGCGAAGGATCGCTGGGCACGGCACTGCCCGCGAAGGATCGCGGGCACGCACCTTGGTCGCGGGAAAGCGCGGTGCGGCTGCGCGCCCCTCGGAGAGGGATAACGTATTGATCGCGCATCGATCGCGATTTTCGGTGCTTTTCGTTTCCGGCGAACAACGCGTGCAGACGTCCCGGCCCGGCTATGGCGAAAATAGCGTTGGTTGTGCTCCCAGCAGAACGAGAGAGAGAGAGTGACCGCCCCAGAGGACGGAATCCAGGACGTATCGGTGAGGTTGCTCCACAACTTGTTATTGCTGTAAAGTCGCATGCACCAGGGCGAGGGACTCTCACGTTCTGTCGCAGAGTGCCATTTGTAAATTCTCGCGAAGCCGCCATTCGCGGCACTTTGGTGTACGGTATTATTTGGTGAGGCACTCGGTGTCAAGCGGGAGAGACTCCTAAGCTCGCGGATAGACGGCTACCGAGGAATTAGAGTAGAGATAAAATCGCAGGCCTCCTGGAGATCGCGACGGCCGAGAGCGGAAAGGCCCGTGCACGTGCGGTGCATGTATCGCGTCGTTGGTTGGTGTGAGTGCGACGGCGCGCGTCTCGCGCCCTTATAACGTTAAATGTGATGTCGACTTTGTTTTGAGTCGCAAAGAATCTGAATGTTTCGGGAAATGTCGATGTGTTGTGAATCGCGAGGAATCCTGATGTCAATACTTTATGCGGCAAGCTGAGTCTGCCTAGCGTTAAATTTAAGATTTGTAAGCGAGGAAGAATTGTAATTTTGTGCGTTCTCGTTGATTGTAGTTCTCCCGGCGCGTACCGACTATGACATTTTCGCGTTAACTTTAGTGTAATTTTGGTTGATTTTCTATTGTCGATTGTTTTGCGACATTAATCTCTGATCGACCTGTATTCGTGAATTGACCATAATGTATCGCGTCTTAACTTACTTGATTTAATTTTGCTACCGATATCTCGCGTCATTGAATATTGTATCGTCGTCGTTAGTATTGCGAAATAATTTGTTCTTGCGCGTATTTGATTGAGTTAATTTTCGTTTAGCCAAGAGCATAATTTTTCCTTGCGGGTTCGCAGCACTCTAGTTTATTTTATCATTTTTTTTTGCGTTAATCTTTCCACGCGCTATCAACTCAATAATGTCAAGCAATTTATTTTATTTCCCTTTTTTTTTTGTTCTTAATAAACCCGCTTATTGTTATTTTAATGCCAAGAGTATAATTTTCGTGTTCTCGTCGTAATCTTTCTTCCTGTATCTCCCTATATCAAAGCAACCCTCGTCTTTTCCTGAGACCCTGCCCCTCTACAGTTAATTGAGCTGGCCTAACCGCGTACGAGTGAGAATTTCCGAGACTTTCGCGTATTTTTCGCGTTACGAATTTTGTGTTTAGTGGTGTCGCGTTCGGGGATAACGTTTTTCGCGATGTTGGCGTCGCCTTTAAGGACGTCTGGCGCCCAACTTTCGCGTTTCGCGATTCTCGCTCGGCCGCGTGAGCCTTATTGTTTTTCCACCTGTGACGTGCAAGCGAATAACGTCGCAGTATGTAATATTTTGACATTGGAATAAATACATATTCACTTTCATTGCATTATCTTTCAATAATAAAATGTTTTATATATACACTACTCAACAAAATTAAAGGATCACTTGTTCCACCCTGCAAAAATAGGCAAACTTTGAGATAGAATAACTTCGTCAAAAATCATCGTATCGAGATGTTTAAAAAAGCATTTTAAAGCTTGAAATCTCTACTTTTCAGCCGTGTACTTCAAAAAACGGTCTTACTGATATTTCGTGAAGTTGCACCATCATAAATAAAAGTGTGTCAAACCTAAACATTTTTTACAAAATTTGCCCAAGGAGCCAAATAAAAATTGTGCACAAATGCGGTTTACAGCTTTCGAAAGAGCGAATCTTTACCTTCAATTTGCTTT